TAACTTTTTTCTAAATTTATTTTTTCATTCTCAATTATTTAAAAGAAAAACAACTAAATCAATTATGAATATACTTATAAGGCTAAATGATAGGCCGTTTCTTCTTTCTGTTCGAATTTTCATCTAAAGTTTTTCATTACTAATTTCAACAATAACTTTTTCTCTTTATTAAAACGGATCTTTTTAATTTTTATTTATCGTTTACAGGCAATTTCGTCTCTGCTATTAAAAATTACAATGTGTTAATAACTCCATTACTTCATTTATTTCGGACTTTTTACGTTCTAACTCTTGATGACACCTGCTTTAATTATATTCCAACAGAATTCCATTTTCAATTGTAATTCGTATTACAGAGAGATTCTTTAATTGAGAAATTTTTTAAATGTTGAGAAAATTAATGTGTTCCCAATCAATTTAATTCTTTCTTCTTTACGGTAAATATTAATCAAGTTTTTCTCCTTTTCTTCAATAAGAGAAAGCTTATTTACACTTTATTGATTATAATTTATAACGCTAAAATTCTACTAAATTGAATGAATCTTATTCTATCCTTTAAGTCTTCTCGCATTTTATTCCACTTTTTTCTTATTGATTCTGGGAACAACAATCTATTTACAAATTTATTATAGCGGCATAGTTGAGAAAATTCGAAGTTAATGTAAGTGATCAAATTTAAAAGTTTTACTAAAAATAAATTTTTTAAAATGGTCTTCTCATTAATAAATTCTAACCGAATAAAAAGGTTTTTATATTTCGCTTTTATNTAATTTTATGTTTTGAAATAAATTTAATTTAAGCAAATATTTTAATTTATATTTTTAATCGCGAATTTAAATATTAAAATTATAAATATGTATAATATATATTTTTAATATAGTATCAAATCTGCTTACACGGTTTTTCTTTATATGTTAAATAGCATTTTCAGCGAAATGCTGTATTGTAAAAGATATTATTAGCTAATTTATCGTTATGATCATAATAAAAATGTCAAATGGCTTCATTTGTGAATGTTTTATTTTAAATAATTCGCAATCCATTTACATTTAACTATCCACAGCTAACGTTTAAACGCTTTGTGTTAAGTGTAAAATCGTCCTTAATCACTCGAAATGCAAACTTTTGCATATTAAGAACATTTACGATTTAATTTACGCCTTTAGTACATATATAACTTTGATATTTCTTTACCTAAGTCAAATTAATTTACAATAAATCTGTTATAATACATTTGAAAATACTTGATACTTTCCACTTAAATAAGCATTACTCTTCTTTCAAACGAAAAAAATTGCTTGTAGTCGATATGACAACCAAATTCGCTGCATAAGTGATCGTTAAAATATGCCTTCGGGTAATATTCACATTTTAATGTAACTCGCAAATGATAATATGAGAACGGTTGCCCGACTCATCTAAATTTATTGCCTTCCATCTATCGATAGCCAAGATACATTAAATATGGAAAGAGTATAATTTTGTTACATTTTTCAAAATATTATTTTTGGAAAATTATATTAAAAAAGAAAAATATTATTATTGACTATTTTCTAACATTATTAGAAGAGGCAATATTTCTTTTTTTTTAATTAATCTTTAGGACGCAAATCAATAAAAACACAATAAGGTTATCTTTCGAAACTCTCTTTAAATGCGAATAACCGAGTTTCNAGTTGAGAAAATTCGAAGTTAATGTAAGTGATCAAATTTAAAAGTTTTACTAAAAATAAATTTTTTAAAATGGTCTTCTCATTAATAAATTCTAACCGAATAAAAAGGTTTTTATATTTCGCTTTTATCTTCGAAATTTTACTTAAATTAAAAATTTATTTACCTAAAAACCTTTAGAAATTTGTTTCTGAATCTCCAGAAGTTAAAGCTTTGTCTCCGAATCCTCAAAATATAAAAAAAAAAAATACTAAAAGGTTAATGTTTCTTTAAGCTTTCTAATCAATATTTCGTATATTATTGATTGTTGGAGTCACCCACTGCAGTCTCTTAACGCTTTATTTGAATTATCATGCTTTAGTAAATTCTACTTAAAAAAAGGGAATCTAATACACCAAATCCTCTGAAAAGAAATGTAGAAACGAATGAAAATATTCTAAACTATGCACGATGCTAAACTAATAAAATATATGATAAGTATCTACCATGATATAAAACGGGGGTTTGAAATTATATGTCTCGTTGAGCACAAACTAGAGAAAACTGAAGACACATATAGTAAAATTCATCGGTGCATATTCTAGAAAGATTTAATTAGTATTAGTGAAACAAGACTCATAAGTACGGTCGACATAACACAATAGTCAGCGTTGAAACTTTGTGGATGATGTGATAACATTGAATGATGCATAGTCCGCAATACAACTCTGCCTTCGCACTATCGCTTCGTATTTTCTTCTGAAGCAAGGCATTTTTATAGAGCATCCAAAAATTCTTAAACAAATCTCATATTCACTAAAGTTTTAAACTAAATAATAATTAAAAGAATATTGTTGTGTTGTTATATTTGTATAAAATGTTTTATTAAAAAAGCCATCCACTATTTAATGAATATGTTAAATTATCAAATAAAAATATAGAATACTTATTATATCTTTCGATAAGTACTACTTAAACAATAAGAGATTTCTTGAAAATAAGAGAAGATAAAAAAGTTTTCAATAATTTAACTTGTTCACTAAAAGATTTAAATTCAGCCTAAGAAAAGACAAATTGCATTTTGTTATGCCAAAGAAATCCTCCGAATAAAAGAAAAAAAAATACTTTTACTCATTTTCATTTTTAGTTCTGTCTACGTTCTGTTTCATTCTGACTACATTTTTTCCCTTTTCTTCCTTATCTATTACTTCTTCTTTATTTAGTTTTCACCTCCTTTCTTCCGAACGATCGGTCCGTCAGGGGTTTTCGTAAACATACATTTCCGTAGCAGAATTTGCTATCTTTTAATGTACTCAGCTGAGTGAATAATGCAAATAATAACACAACGGCATCTTTTTCTATCGGATAATCTAAGACTTATAAGTGACAAGAAACTAATAACATAAAAAAAAACTTTTATTCGTGATGATGGCTGAGTATTTCAATATATCTTATCTTTTCCAATTTTTTTCGTATTTTTTTATCTTTCGAATAGAATAATCATCATGAAAATTTCATACATCTGGGAATTAACACTTTACTTCCTTTAAGAATTTCCATAAAATCTAACTTTATCATACTTGAAAACAAACTTTAATGTAAACAGTGTTGTTTTGTTTTTAGCCGTAGTCTATCTAGCCTTTGGAAAAATCGATATTTTTAGTAGAATGTAAAATTTGATAAAAATTCAATTTAAATGTCTGTAATGTTTATCAAAAGTATCTGATCTTTGCTCAATAAATATTTATTATAAATATGAAAAAAAATAATATATGAATTTGAAAAGCTCATTTTCAAATATTTTTATAGTAAAATCCCTTACGGATTCGACTAGTTTCTAAATAAAGTTGTTTTCTTTTTCATGTTAGTTTCACATGAGATAGAGAATATTATAAAATTTTCCTGGGATGAGACTACTGTAATAATTTTACTGTAAACGATTTCATCGAGCCACGCTTTTACTTACATTAAGAAAACAATCGTTTTCGGTTCTGAAAATGCAAAATAAATGACAAGTCTTGTGTCATTTTCCTTTTCATCATTAGATCAAGGAAAAATCAGTGAGAAATATTCCTAAATGCGCAAAAATTATACAAATTTAAACTTTGGCAGAACATCTGGGATAAATCGATATGTCATTTTGATACATAACACAATACTTAATAACAGAATAAAAAGAGATTTTTATCGGGGAAAAAAGCGAGAGGAAACATCGTTAGCTCTAATTAAATTATATATTTTTGTATTTTTCCAAATATTTATACTGTATCAGCAATTATCAGTAAAGTCATTTTTTTCCCTCTTAATGTTAATTAGCTTTCTAAAAACAAAATATTTACATAATGCTATTTTGCAAATGATCAGTTATTGTTTATATCAAATTTTTTCCCATTGTAAATGTATTTTCATAATTAAAGTCTTAGACCAAATGCAATAATACATTCATAATTTAAAAGAGCTAATTACACTTCAATTAAATATTTTTTTAATTAATTAGTTTATTTTTTATAACTAAGTGAAGAAGCTCTTCAAAAATGAATTAAGGTGGAAAAATTTAGCAATATTCTGTATCATTTTTTATGTGAAAAAATATAAATAATTATTTTAATAAATTCAGCTTTCTTTTCTAAAACTTTTTAAACTCTATTAAAAATTCCTAATAATTCATCAGATACAATAATAACTGGTGAAAGTTGAAAGACTATAATGTATGACTTTTGTATGACTTTTAGAGATTATCAATCTATTTTTGCGTGATATAAAAAGATATCAAGCTCATATTTCAAGTTTTTTACATTCATTTTAATTTTTCGTGACTTTTTAGAGTGCATTGAAACACTCTCCTCATTAATCACCTGTTTGAATTGCTTATTTCGAAGGAAAAATTATAAATATGTATTTAAAATTTATTCTGTTTTATAAAATGAAAGTTTTACAGTTTTCTCAGAATTTATTTTAAAATTTACATTTTTATATGATCATTATTTCTGAAGTTTAATGATAAAATAGCTCAAATGGTATTTTAGTAATTAGCAAATCATCTAGTTACGCAAGTGTATTTAATAGCAGATGTTAATGATAAGTTGTAAAGCTAAATGACGTCCTGATGTAATCAAAATGCACTGAATTATACTCCTTGTAATAAGCAAAGACTTCTAGAATATTAATTCCTTTTATAATAAATTTTCTTAATAAAATTTTTACGCAATATTAATTTGTTATTTTCTTTCTGTTTTTTTTCTAAAAAAATGATTTATATTAAATCATACGCCGAATTTATAATTGCATAAAAACTATATGTAAAAAATAATTAGATTATATAGAACAACAATAAAATTAACTTGACTTACTTTGGTGCTCTCCTTCAACATCAACTGTTCTCAATTTAATTCCCGGTACTCCTAAAATATTATTTAAAAATGTTCATTATTAGTGTCTAGTTTAATTTATGCTCTGCTAAAGATGAAAATTATCATACATTCATCTAGAAACTTTGCCACACATTACCATTTTAATTTAATCAACTTAACTAGAAAAGAGTAAATTTCCCCGATCACGTGTCTCAACAGATAAATTATTATTACTATTTTTGCCTAATTTACTTTATAAAAATTGCATTAAACAAAAATACAACGCTTTAATTTAAAAAAAAATTTAAATTAGTAAAAAATGGCACTTTGTTTTTGTAGATTTTAAGCACATAATATATAATTATTGGTACTATTTTAAAGGATTTTCGACAATGTATTTTTTTATATAAAATATAATGAAATCCAGGTATGAAAAATGTTCTTATAAAATTTCATAGAATAGAACTTTTAAACTGTATTAGGAAATTTTATTGAATTTTTTAGTATTTATCATTATTTATTTAACAGATACATTGATAAAAAAATAAATAAAACAAATATACGAATGGTGCCCTACATAAATAAACAGACAAAACTTCATTTGTATGCTTAAAACAATATTTAATTTCTCTTCTGGTAACCTTCAAATATAAAACAATTCAAAGAATCCATTGACATTGTTTTCTTGCTTATATCAAAATTTAAAAGATTTCATCTGAATTTAATTTTCATATTTAACAATATAAAATAGGATTTATGAAAGATTTTTGTATAGTTATTATTTTAAATAACAAATAAAATCAAGTTAAATACATTCTGGAAAATCCTAGAATATGAATATAATTGGTTTGAAACAAAAGTGTCATCTGATATTTTCAAATTTACAAAAAAAAAAAAAAAAAAAAAAAAACACATAAATAATGCATTAGATTAAATAAGTTTGGAACAAATAAAAAATAATTTTTATACTTCCAATGTTTCATATGATAAAATAGAAAAGTCAGTTAATGTGTTCTCTTCATTGACTTATGGCAACTGACGTTATTCTTAACTCGATAAAAACTACATCTTGTTTCTTCTTCTGTATTTGTCAGAGTGAATAACTCAATTTTGTTGTCAGACTTCTTTTTATTTTTCTCTGTCTTTTTTCCTCCATTATGCAAAAATACACTACTAATAACGGAGATAACAAGCTATTTAGAAAGAAATTTCTTTAAAAGATTCTTCTATTGTTAATTCTGCAATGTACACTATGTACACTCGAGTTTTCTATGTTAAGATGGTTGTACACATCTGGAAGTTGACAGTTCCACATACTTTTGATATTTCCAGCGCTTCAATATAGGCTATTGATCCCACGAGTACTGTTGAACAACCATAGGAACAATCGCCAAACTGTATTCCAACTTTCGATACTTTATCACAAATTTCTATTCCTGTAACTAGTTAATTTTCAAACGAGAATTTGGGGTGCAATTTAGCATCATCTACTCGCTTAAGTCCTCTCCATTTTCTACTTAAAGGCAGATTATTACGTTGGAAAGTTAATTTTAAATACTTAACCTAACTGATATTGCTTTCTGAAGAGAGTATTTGAAAGATTTCATTAATTAAACTTTAGTTAAATTTAAATAAAATCGGCTAGAAAATGCAAGTTTAAAAAAATTAAACTATATTTAATAAGCAGTCTCTTATAAAATTCATTTAAGACTCATGTATTCAATAAAATAGCCAATTTATAATATAACTGTCAACTAATAACGTACCAATGTGGCTCATGTGGCAAGATTCGGTGAGATATTATAGATAAAAGTCAAGATGACTAGTAAACGTATCTCATGAGTACCATAAATATGCCTACCATTAATCTTGCCTGATATTCTGAAAGGAAAATGCTAAGAGTAGGAATACTTTTAAAATTTTATAAGTTCATCCTTTTAGTAATATTCGGGTGTCTAAACAAGAATTTTAAATATACATTCATTAAAAGTTTTTAATGCGTTTGAAAGTTAGAACAGAGCTGAAAATAAAACATTAAGCGTCACTTTATTGCCTCTTTTTATTCTCATTTTAATAATTTCGAGTGTGATATTCAAGGCTGTGCAATTTTGCATTATGTAAATAGCATGTAACCATATATTTTTCTTGATAGAATTTTCTGATAGCTTTGATTTATACAACTCGTTTGATGAATGTTTAATAGATTTACATTCTGTTTATTTACATAATGAAAGAAAAAGTGGCTAAAAGGGTACAAAATCGGTTTAAAAAAATCTATAATGGAAACTAATTCTTGAGAGTATGATTCGAATGAATTTTATAAAAGCCGTTCCAACATCTTGTATAAATGATGAATGCATTACATTAAGTAAAATTTGGCAGCGAATTTTAATTATAAATTTCCATTTCAAGCCAATATTTTAAGAGTAAAAAATTATCATACGAAAATATAAAATGATTAATAATGAAATGTCGCAGTATATATAAAATTTGCTAGCATTTTTAAAGATATCATTTGAATTTCTTTTAAAGGAAAATTGATTTTTTCATTTAAAAAATATCGAAATGATATACAATGTAATATTCATTTTTTAATTAATCAAATGGAGCATTATCTGAAACGGAGATAATTATATACTAAATCAAACTGATAAGCATTGTTATTTTTACTTATTTTTTCAAAAATTAAAGTATTTTTGCGCAATTATTCTTATGAAAAGATATTCTTTTAAAGAAAGAAAAAAAAACAATGTCTTTGCCTAAGGATACTTATTTATGGCTTGCTTTAAACTAACGGACCATTGACAACTATTGGAATATTTTAATGAGCAATCTTACTCTACTGACAAAAGATGTTCATTTATCTTTTTTTTTTATATCAAAAATCTTTTCATAAGTAAAAATTTCTTACTTTTATTCTAATAAATAGCGGATAAACACAGATATAGGCCTAATAATTAGATATAAAATATTTAAGTCATAAATATTTATATAAACAACATTATTTAGACTTTCGATTATTTTGGATATAAAATATGAAATTAAATTTATACTATTATTTTAAAATGTATATATTTTTACTACTAGAACATTTATCTAACAGAGTTTATATTTTGATAAAATAATTTAACTATATAATATAAAAAAAAATCGATTTTATTCTGTTGCTAATTATGTTTAGCTACACAAGATGAATAAAGGAAAAAAAAATTGTATTTTCTTGAAAACTTCGTACATTACCCCTCGTTTGTCAGAACAAAAGCTAAATAATTGGCGTCGGTTTGTAATTTTTAGCTATTATCTCAATACTTCACACAGCTCATAAATAAAAGAATGAAGTAATTTATAGTTTCCGAACTAAAACTGGAAAGTTTATGAAGGGTAAATCTACTCGAGCCGTTGAAGCCGTAAATTACGATAGCTTTACTCTTGAAAAAAATGACATATTTTCTAAAGAGTGTAATTTCTGTGAAGTTCACATATCTGAAAACATTTCTTCCTTACAAACTTAAGATTAAAGTAGATGCCTGTAAATGCGTAAAGAATGCAAGAAATGTTACCATTCATATAATAAAATGTTTATTTGCAAAAATTGCATCAAAACTTATAAAATTTATTTATAGCTTGAAAAATTTTAAGTGTTGCAACAACAATTACAACTAGGTGTATCGGCCAATATTACTTCGTATTCAGTATAGTGAATTTATAACTATGTAACATTTAAACTTAAAAAAAAACTGTATTTGTTTTATTGATTATAATTTATAAAATATTCATAAAAATAAGCGCTTTTTTTATTTGTAAAATTCAAAATTTTGCACGCATTAAACTGTTATTTGCTTAACTGACCGCTAAAATATAGTCTATATTATATATATGTGTGTGTATGTGTGCGTTATTTAGAAAGAGGCTATTTTGAAAATATCTCCAATATATCATAATGTGGAGTATTTTATCTCCTTTTAGATGATTTGGTAATAACTTCCATTATCGTCTCCTTTTAGATATAGTTGAGATGTTGAAGTATCCTAAATGCATCATGAGAGTAGGAACCGAAATTGCTATTTTCTAACGATAACGATAGTGTGCACAACAATGTGCAATATTAGCAAAAATTTTATTGGGTAATTTGCAAAATTGAAGCTCGTGAAGATCAAATTAAATATAGAAAAATTTATATCATAAATTTACGTTTTTAAATAAATTTTAACCAAGTAAAAATATTTAAGTGATATTTCTAACCAAAGAAAATAAGTACGCTTTCTCTCTCTCTCTCTCTCTCTCTCTCAAAATATTTCATATTTATATCTGATTTATTCAATTTAAAAAAAATCTATAAATCAGATTTGTTGAGGTTTTTGTGAAATAAAGACATATATTTTACATTGTGTATAAAAATAGATAAGTTATATATGCATATAGAATCTAGCCCATATCAATAATAAACCTATTTTGATAAGAGTTTCCACAATATACCTTACATTTTTGACATTATTTATTTTAATAAATATTTTAAGAAATTTATTAACAATTTAAAATATATTTCTTACTATTAATCTATAAAAATTATTTAGTTTAATTAATGTTTGTTCTGAGTAATTAAAAACAACATTTAATCCATAAACTAAATTTACCTGCATGGATAAATATCTGTAAATCCATAAGAATTATCATCCATAAGATGGAGTAGGACATTTTCTTAATATGTTTCGAAATCTATAAATATATAAAATAAGAAAATAAATATTTACTGATGCTGAAATCTATTAAAGATATTTATTTAGAAATACACAAAAAATCTTTTACGGATATTACTATTCACTTACATATAGGTCTATGAATAATTTCACTTTATATAAATTTTTTTTCGAATATTAACTTTAAATTATATTAAATTTTAAATATTTAATGCATTAAAATTAATTAAAAAATAATTTTATTTAAACAAGTTGAAGTTTATCATCAAAATAATATTGACAATAAGTTTTAAGTTTTACACGCACTTCGAATAATTAGTTTGTAAAATTGAATTAAAATTTTTTACATGTAAACTGTGTTATATATTATCAGCTAACGCTTCTTTTATTGATTTTTCTAATTTTATTAATATTAAAATTATGTATACTCTAGATTTGTTAGATAAACAGGACGAGATTTTATATTTTAATGTATTCTTTTCAGTTCATTTAATATAATATTTAAATATAAATGAACCAATTATATAAAAATTAAAAACAGTATTTATTTTATGTTGCATCAGTATAAAAATTAAGTAAATTTAAATTAATTAATTTATTATATATAATTACACTTGTTTTTTCTAATTAAATATTTATTGTAAGAATTTATTTCAGTAATTAAAAATTAAATATTCACTTTTATTATTGTACATATATCAAAAGAATTATACTACGTTGTTTTTTCTTTAAATATATATATAAATCAGTTTTTAAGCTACGAAAATCACTCATTTCTACAGATATATTTTCTATTTTAAACGTAAAATATATCCTTCCAGATCTACTGTAAATGGAAACGATATTTCGAGTTTCCGAATTAGCAAAAAATAAATAAAAAATAAAGTCATTATAAATAAACAACGATATGCTTTCAGTATACATTTAATAAAAGAAGCTTTATTAGTCAGCATATTAAATTATAAAATTAGTTTAGTCAGACAAGTCTAATGTTTCCAAAGTCATTTGATGTTATTATACAAACTCTTTTTAAACTGTGTTACGGACTCCACATAAATGAATATAAATGCATTAATTATTTTAGTAACTCGATATTTTGTATAAAAGCCTATTATAAAGAGTTATAAATATAGAATAGTTTCAAAACTTATTTCTTAAATAATTGCTATTCATTTAAAATCTGCCTTTGTATTAGCAGATAGAATTCTAATAGAGGGGATTGGTTTTTTTTTATTGTTGATGTGAATACAACCAGAGAAAAGCCAAGAATGAATTTATCTTGTTCGTCTTTATCATATATCTGTAGATAAAAAGCAAGCTTGATAGTTGACCAAAGCTTCCTGAGCAAAACAAACGTCTTTACTTCCTAAATAGCTAGTAAATGAGGATGCTGCATCACCACATACAGTACGTTCTGGATCATTAAATAGACGTCATATCAGTCGAAACATGTCAATCTCTTGCAAGATTTCACGCTCTGCGGAATTTTCTTTCTATTGTTCATTTAGCAATGTTCACAATCAAATACTTATCTTAAATAGGTTAACTGGTTCGTGAAATTATAAATAAACCAGAAATCAATCTTGATTCTTCTTAATTATCTTAACTAGTCCTTCCACTAATAAATATCTGATCGATTATTAACAACATTTCCGTAGTTCAAAAGTTTGTTTTCTTAACAATAAAAAGAATTTATAACTTTAATATAAGGTTTAGAAGAATAAAATTATAATTTTTTTTGAAATTTCTGTAAGAAAAGAAGTCAATTAATATTCTTTAGTGAAGTTTGAAGAGAGAAAATTCCTTTTTAATGGAGAAGAAAACAAAATAGAAGTTTCTTAGATGATCATTCTAACGGAAACACGAATTAAGGAATGAAAAGGTGTAAGGAAACATTTTGGAAACCATATCGCGAACTGGAGAGAAATCGAATGGTGAAGTGAACAGATCGAAATAAAAGTTTTAGAAGCTGAAAAGCCTCAAACACGGATTTTGTATTACAGACATGACCTCAATGGTGATATTGAGAGCAAACTATGTGTAGGCTCAAGTTGAATAGATTGAAAGTTTCTGAAAGACTAGCTATGCCGACTAATATTACCTTTTATCTCAGCCAAGCGAAAACGGCCTGTTTTGACAAAGTAATTTAACGTAGCTTTAGTATCGCTTAATAATAACTTAATTACATTTCCTTTTAAACTGATACATTCTAAGGTAGAATCGAAGTGATTCATTGCATAAAAATAAAACCCTATGGAAGTTTATCATGATAAGGTTTAAAATCTTCAGAAATGCAATAAATTATGATTTTATATTGTATAGTTACTTCTATATAATGATTTATAAGACAAGAAGAAGTATTTCAATTCATTTTCACTAGCGAATTTATGAGATTTTCACAATTTACTTAACATAAATAATAGTAATTTTAAATGTAAGTAAAGTAATTTAAATTTTATTTATTTAAAGTGACAAGTTTACATCATTTAAATAGTTTATTTTATAGAAATAAATAATTAAACTCGTACTATAATATGTATAGAATAACTTTCGTTATTATTAAATTTCATGTTCTTGTAAAAATTCTGAAAGTTAATTAAATATTTCAACTTTAATTATACATTAATAAATAAAACATTATTTATTAATCCGTAATTAAAATTTTGATAAATCTAAAAATATTTCAGAATTATTCAACGTCAGAATTAATATATTTTCTTTGATAAAATAATGAGAATTCAAAATAGCAGAAATATTTTATTCGTTCGCAACTACAACGTAAAAAACATTACAAAAATATTAATTATAATTAAATTTGATGTCTAATTACTTAATTTATTATAAATTCCTTACGTAATGAATCCTTGTTTGCTTATCTAGACAATATTTTCCCGTTGAGTAGATTTATTTGCTTTGTATAAGTATTACGAAGATAATATTTCGCCACTTCCCACACGTTTACATAATGACATACAGTAAATACCAGATATTAAGATTCATGTCCATTCCTACGAACATTGCAGAAGATCTTGTGAGGTCAAAATGTCCAAGGAGAAGGTAGCCTTAAGCATTCCCGATCGGATTTCAACAATCCCAAGAGCTTCCATGTACTCAACTCTAGAAGCATTCCACGGAACTGCTCCAGGAATGAACTGCCTGCTAAAAGTCGACCCACAAGAATAATGATATTGTGCTTTTAACCTTATTATAGGTCAAATGTTGAAAATTAAATAATATAGCTAATTTTCTATCATAAATCAATTTTAATTTATTGTATTAATTCTGTATTATTATTTTATAGAAGAAAAATAACACGTTAAGTCTTTCAAATTTATAATTTTGTTTATTATTTTACTTTCATAGTGTCAAGTATACGATTCTAAAATCGATATTTTTACAAAGTTTATTTTTAAAAGATTAGAATTAATCACTTTAAGTTGCAAACTGTGTTTTAGTAACTATTAAATATCATCAAGCAATTTATTTAAAAGTTAATTATATTTAGTAAAATTAAGGTTGTATAGTAGCGTGAAATTTTAAAGTGAATGGAAATAATTATTTATTACGATATTAAAAACCGATAATGAAATTAAATATTTAACTACTATATTTTTCTAAATAAAGTTGTTTTCTTTTTCATGTTAGTTTCACATGAGATAGAGAATATTATAAAATTTTCCTGGGATGAGACTACTGTAATAATTTTACTGTAAACGATTTCATCGAGCCACGCTTTTACTTACATTAAGAAAACAATCGTTTTCGGTTCTGAAAATGCAAAATAAATGACAAGTCTTGTGTCATTTTCCTTTTCATCATTAGATCAAGGAGAAATCAGTGAGAAATATTCCTAAATGCGCAAAAATTATACAAATTTAAACTTTGGCAGAACATCTGGGATAAATCGATATGTCATTTTGATACATAACACAATACTTAATAACAGAATAAAAAGAGATTTTTATCGGGGAAAAAAGCGAGAGGAAACATCGTTAGCTCTAATTAAATTATATATTTTTGTATTTTTCCAAATATTTATACTGTATCAGCAATTATCAGTAAAGTCATTTTTTTCCCTCTTAATGTTAATTAGCTTTCTAAAAACAAAATATTTACATAATGCTATTTTGCAAATGATCAGTTATTGTTTATATCAAATTTTTTCCCATTGTAAATGTATTTTCATAATTAAAGTCTTAGACCAAATGCAATAATACATTCATAATTTAAAAGAGCTAATTACACTTCAATTAAATATTTTTTTAATTAATTAGTTTATTTTTTATAACTAAGTGAAGAAGCTCTTCAAAAATGAATTAAGGTGGAAAAATTTAGCAATATTCTGTATCATTTTTTATGTGAAAAAATATAAATAATTATTTTAATAAATTCAGCTTTCTTTTCTAAAACTTTTTAAACTCTATTAAAAATTCCTAATAATTCATCAGATACAATAATAACTGGTGAAAGTTGAAAGACTATAATGTATGACTTTTGTATGACTTTTAGAGATTATCAATCTATTTTTGCGTGATATAAAAAGATATCAAGCTCATATTTCAAGTTTTTTACATTCATTTTAATTTTTCGTGACTTTTTAGAGTGCATTGAAACACTCTCCTCATTAATCACCTGTTTGAATTGCTTATTTCGAAGGAAAAATTATAAATATGTATTTAAAATTTATTCTGTTTTATAAAATGAAAGTTTTACAGTTTTCTCAGAATTTATTTTAAAATTTACATTTTTATATGATCATTATTTCTGAAGTTTAATGATAAAATAGCTCAAATGGTATTTTAGTAATTAGCAAATCATCTAGTTACGCAAGTGTATTTAATAGCAGATGTTAATGATAAGTTGTAAAGCTAAATGACGTCCTGATGTAATCAAAATGCACTGAATTATACTCCTTGTAATAAGCAAAGACTTCTAGAATATTAATTCCTTTTATAATAAATTTTCTTAATAAAATTTTTACGCAATATTAATTTGTTATTTTCTTTCTGTTTTTTTTCTAAAAAAATGATTTATATTAAATCATACGCCGAATTTATAATTGCATAAAAACTATATGTAAAAAATAATTAGATTATATAGAACAACAATAAAATTAACTTGACTTACTTTGGTGCTCTCCTTCAACATCAACTGTTCTCAATTTAATTCCCGGTACTCCTAAAATATTATTTAAAAATGTTCATTATTAGTGTCTAGTTTAATTTATGCTCTGCTAAAGATGAAAATTATCATACATTCATCTAGAAACTTTGCCACACATTACCATTTTAATTTAATCAACTTAACTAGAAAAGAGTAAATTTCCCCGATCACGTGTCTCAACAGATAAATTATTATTACTATTTTTGCCTAATTTACTTTATAAAAATTGCATTAAACAAAAATACAACGCTTTAATTTAAAAAAAAATTTAAATTAGTAAAAAATGGCACTTTGTTTTTGTAGATTTTAAGCACATAATATATAATTATTGGTACTATTTTAAAGGATTTTCGACAATGTATTTTTTTATATAAAATATAATGAAATCCAGGTATGAAAAATGTTCTTATAAAATTTCATAGAATAGAACTTTTAAACTGTATTAGGAAATTTTATTGAATTTTTTAGTATTTATCATTATTTATTTAACAGATACATTGATAAAAAAATAAATAAAACAAATATACGAATGGTGCCCTACATAAATAAACAGACAAAACTTCATTTGTATGCTTAAAACAATATTTAATTTCTCTTCTGGTAACCTTCAAATATAAAACAATTCAAAGAATCCATTGACATTGTTTTCTTGCTTATATCAAAATTTAAAAGATTTCATCTGAATTTAATTTTCATATTTAACAATATAAAATAGGATTTATGAAAGATTTTTGTATAGTTATTATTTTAAATAACAAATAAAATCAAGTTAAATACATTCTGGAAAATCCTAGAATATGAATATAATTGGTTTGAAACAAAAGTGTCATCTGATATTTTCAAATTTACAAAAAAAAAAAAAAAAAAAAAAAAACACATAAATAATGCATTAGATTAAATAAGTTTGGAACAAATAAAAAATAATTTTTATACTTCCAATGTTTCATATGATAAAATAGAAAAGTCAGTTAATGTGTTCTCTTCATTGACTTATGGCAACTGACGTTATTCTTAACTCGATAAAAACTACATCTTGTTTCTTCTTCTGTATTTGTCAGAGTGAATAACTCAATTTTGTTGTCAGACTTCTTTTTATTTTTCTCTGTCTTTTTTCCTCCATTATGCAAAAATACACTACTAATAACGGAGATAACAAGCTATTTAGAAAGAAATTTCTTTAAAAGATTCTTCTATTGTTAATTCTGCAATGTACACTATGTACACTCGAGTTTTCTATGTTAAGATGGTTGTACACATCTGGAAGTTGACAGTTCCACATACTTTTGATATTTCCAGCGCTTCAATATAGGCTATTGATCCCACGAGTACTGTTGAACAACCATAGGAACAATCGCCAAACTGTATTCCAACTTTCGATACTTTATCACAAATTTCTATTCCTGTAACTAGTTAATTTTCAAACGAGAATTTGGGGTGCAATTTAGCATCATCTACTCGCTTAAGTCCTCTCCATTTTCTACTTAAAGGCAGATTATTACGTTGGAAAGTTAATTTTAAATACTTAACCTAACTGATATTGCTTTCTGAAGAGAGTATTTGAAAGATTTCATTAATTAAACTTTAGTTAAATTTAAATAAAATCGGCTAGAAAATGCAAGTTTAAAAAAATTAAACTATATTTAATAAGCAGTCTCTTATAAAATTCATTTAAGACTCATGTATTCAATAAAATAGCCAATTTATAATATAACTGTCAACTAATAACGTACCAATGTGGCTCATGTGGCAAGATTCGGTGAGATATTATAGATAAAAGTCAAGATGACTAGTAAACGTATCTCATGAGTACCATAAATATGCCTACCATTAATCTTGCCTGATATTCTGAAAGGAAAATGCTAAGAGTAGGAATACTTTTAAAATTTTATAAGTTCATCCTTTTAGTAATATTCGGGTGTCTAAACAAGAATTTTAAATATACATTCATTAAAAGTTTTTAATGCGTTTGAAAGTTAGAACAGAGCTGAAAATAAAACATTAAGCGTCACTTTATTGCCTCTTTTTATTCTCATTTTAATAATTTCGAGTGTGATATTCAAGGCTGTGCAATTTTGCATTATGTAAATAGCATGTAACCATATATTTTTCTTGATAGAATTTTCTGATAGCTTTGATTTATACAACTCGTTTGATGAATGTTTAATAGATTTACATTCTGTTTATTTACATAATGAAAGAAAAAGTGGCTAAAAGGGTACAAAATCGGTTTAAAAAAATCTATAATGGAAACTAATTCTTGAGAGTATGATTCGAATGAATTTTATAAAAGCCGTTCCAACATCTTGTATAAATGATGAATGCATTACATTAAGTAAAATTTGGCAGCGAATTTTAATTATAAATTTCCATTTCAAGCCAATATTTTAAGAGTAAAAAATTATCATACGAAAATATAAAATGATTAATAATGAAATGTCGCAGTATATATAAAATTTGCTAGCATTTTTAAAGATATCATTTGAATTTCTTTTAAAGGAAAATTGATTTTTTCATTTAAAAAATATCGAAATGATATACAATGTAATATTCATTTTTTAATTAATCAAATGGAGCATTATCTGAAACGGAGATAATTATATACTAAATCAAACTGATAAGCATTGTTATTTTTACTTATTTTTTCAAAAATTAAAGTATTTTTGCGCAATTATTCTTATGAAAAGATATTCTTTTAAAGAAAGAAAAAAAAACAATGTCTTTGCCTAAGGATACTTATTTATGGCTTGCTTTAAACTAACGGACCATTGACAACTATTGGAATATTTTAATGAGCAATCTTACTCTACTGACAAAAGATGTTCATTTATCTTTTTTTTTTATATCAAAAATCTTTTCATAAGTAAAAATTTCTTACTTTTATTCTAATAAATAGCGGATAAACACAGATATAGGCCTAATAATTAGATATAAAATATTTAAGTCATAAATATTTATATAAACAACATTATTTAGACTTTCGATTATTTTGGATATAAAATATGAAATTAAATTTATACTATTATTTTAAAATGTATATATTTTTACTACTAGAACATTTATCTAACAGAGTTTATATTTTGATAAAATAATTTAACTATATAATATAAAAAAAAATCGATTTTATTCTGTTGCTAATTATGTTTAGCTACACAAGATGAATAAAGGAAAAAAAAATTGTATTTTCTTGAAAACTTCGTACATTACCCCTCGTTTGTCAGAACAAAAGCTAAATAATTGGCGTCGGTTTGTAATTTTTAGCTATTATCTCAATACTTCACACAGCTCATAAATAAAAGAATGAAGTAATTTATAGTTTCCGAACTAAAACTGGAAAGTTTATGAAGGGTAAATCTACTCGAGCCGTTGAAGCCGTAAATTACGATAGCTTTACTCTTGAAAAAAATGACATATTTTCTAAAGAGTGTAATTTCTGTGAAGTTCACATATCTGAAAACATTTCTTCCTTACAAACTTAAGATTAAAGTAGATGCCTGTAAATGCGTAAAGAATGCAAGAAATGTTACCATTCATATAATAAAATGTTTATTTGCAAAAATTGCATCAAAACTTATAAAATTTATTTATAGCTTGAAAAATTTTAAGTGTTGCAACAACAATTACAACTAGGTGTATCGGCCAATATTACTTCGTATTCAGTATAGTGAATTTATAACTATGTAACATTTAAACTTAAAAAAAAACTGTATTTGTTTTATTGATTATAATTTATAAAATATTCATAAAAATAAGCGCTTTTTTTATTTGTAAAATTCAAAATTTTGCACGCATTAAACTGTTATTTGCTTAACTGACCGCTAAAATATAGTCTATATTATATATATGTGTGTGTATGTGTGCGTTATTTAGAAAGAGGCTATTTTGAAAATATCTCCAATATATCATAATGTGGAGTATTTTATCTCCTTTTAGATGATTTGGTAATAACTTCCATTATCGTCTCCTTTTAGATATAGTTGAGATGTTGAAGTATCCTAAATGCATCATGAGAGTAGGAACCGAAATTGCTATTTTCTAACGATAACGATAGTGTGCACAACAATGTGCAATATTAGCAAAAATTTTATTGGGTAATTTGCAAAATTGAAGCTCGTGAAGATCAAATTAAATATAGAAAAATTTATATCATAAATTTACGTTTTTAAATAAATTTTAACCAAGTAAAAATATTTAAGTGATATTTCTAACCAAAGAAAATAAGTACGCTTTCTCTCTCTCTCTCTCTCTCTCTCTCAAAATATTTCATATTTATATCTGATTTATTCAATTTAAAAAAAATCTATAAATCAGATTTGTTGAGGTTTTTGTGAAATAAAGACATATATTTTACATTGTGTATAAAAATAGATAAGTTATATATGCATATAGAATCTAGCCCATATCAATAATAAACCTATTTTGATAAGAGTTTCCACAATATACCTTACATTTTTGACATTATTTATTTTAATAAATATTTTAAGAAATTTATTAACAATTTAAAATATATTTCTTACTATTAATCTATAAAAATTATTTAGTTTAATTAATGTTTGTTCTGAGTAATTAAAAACAACATTTAATCCATAAACTAAATTTACCTGCATGGATAAATATCTGTAAATCCATAAGAATTATCATCCATAAGATGGAGTAGGACATTTTCTTAATATGTTTCGAAATCTATAAATATATAAAATAAGAAAATAAATATTTACTGATGCTGAAATCTATTAAAGATATTTATTTAGAAATACACAAAAAATCTTTTACGGATATTACTATTCACTTACATATAGGTCTATGAATAATTTCACTTTATATAAATTTTTTTTCGAATATTAACTTTAAATTATATTAAATTTTAAATATTTAATGCATTAAAATTAATTAAAAAATAATTTTATTTAAACAAGTTGAAGTTTATCATCAAAATAATATTGACAATAAGTTTTAAGTTTTACACGCACTTCGAATAATTAGTTTGTAAAATTGAATTAAAATTTTTTACATGTAAACTGTGTTATATATTATCAGCTAACGCTTCTTTTATTGATTTTTCTAATTTTATTAATATTAAAATTATGTATACTCTAGATTTGTTAGATAAACAGGACGAGATTTTATATTTTAATGTATTCTTTTCAGTTCATTTAATATAATATTTAAATATAAATGAACCAATTATATAAAAATTAAAAACAGTATTTATTTTATGTTGCATCAGTATAAAAATTAAGTAAATTTAAATTAATTAATTTATTATATATAATTACACTTGTTTTTTCTAATTAAATATTTATTGTAAGAATTTATTTCAGTAATTAAAAATTAAATATTCACTTTTATTATTGTACATATATCAAAAGAATTATACTACGTTGTTTTTTCTTTAAATATATATATAAATCAGTTTTTAAGCTACGAAAATCACTCATTTCTACAGATATATTTTCTATTTTAAACGTAAAATATATCCTTCCAGATCTACTGTAAATGGAAACGATATTTCGAGTTTCCGAATTAGCAAAAAATAAATAAAAAATAAAGTCATTATAAATAAACAACGATATGCTTTCAGTATACATTTAATAAAAGAAGCTTTATTAGTCAGCATATTAAATTATAAAATTAGTTTAGTCAGACAAGTCTAATGTTTCCAAAGTCATTTGATGTTATTATACAAACTCTTTTTAAACTGTGTTACGGACTCCACATAAATGAATATAAATGCATTAATTATTTTAGTAACTCGATATTTTGTATAAAAGCCTATTATAAAGAGTTATAAATATAGAATAGTTTCAAAACTTATTTCTTAAATAATTGCTATTCATTTAAAATCTGCCTTTGTATTAGCAGATAGAATTCTAATAGAGGGGATTGGTTTTTTTTTATTGTTGATGTGAATACAACCAGAGAAAAGCCAAGAATGAATTTATCTTGTTCGTCTTTATCATATATCTGTAGATAAAAAGCAAGCTTGATAGTTGACCAAAGCTTCCTGAGCAAAACAAACGTCTTTACTTCCTAAATAGCTAGTAAATGAGGATGCTGCATCACCACATACAGTACGTTCTGGATCATTAAATAGACGTCATATCAGTCGAAACATGTCAATCTCTTGCAAGATTTCACGCTCTGCGGAATTTTCTTTCTATTGTTCATTTAGCAATGTTCACAATCAAATACTTATCTTAAATAGGTTAACTGGTTCGTGAAATTATAAATAAACCAGAAATCAATCTTGATTCTTCTTAATTATCTTAACTAGTCCTTCCACTAATAAATATCTGATCGATTATTAACAACATTTCCGTAGTTCAAAAGTTTGTTTTCTTAACAATAAAAAGAATTTATAACTTTAATATAAGGTTTAGAAGAATAAAATTATAATTTTTTTTGAAATTTCTGTAAGAAAAGAAGTCAATTAATATTCTTTAGTGAAGTTTGAAGAGAGAAAATTCCTTTTTAATGGAGAAGAAAACAAAATAGAAGTTTCTTAGATGATCATTCTAACGGAAACACGAATTAAGGAATGAAAAGGTGTAAGGAAACATTTTGGAAACCATATCGCGAACTGGAGAGAAATCGAATGGTGAAGTGAACAGATCGAAATAAAAGTTTTAGAAGCTGAAAAGCCTCAAACACGGATTTTGTATTACAGACATGACCTCAATGGTGATATTGAGAGCAAACTATGTGTAGGCTCAAGTTGAATAGATTGAAAGTTTCTGAAAGACTAGCTATGCCGACTAATATTACCTTTTATCTCAGCCAAGCGAAAACGGCCTGTTTTGACAAAGTAATTTAACGTAGCTTTAGTATCGCTTAATAATAACTTAATTACATTTCCTTTTAAACTGATACATTCTAAGGTAGAATCGAAGTGATTCATTGCATAAAAATAAAACCCTATGGAAGTTTATCATGATAAGGTTTAAAATCTTCAGAAATGCAATAAATTATGATTTTATATTGTATAGTTACTTCTATATAATGATTTATAAGACAAGAAGAAGTATTTCAATTCATTTTCACTAGCGAATTTATGAGATTTTCACAATTTACTTAACATAAATAATAGTAATTTTAAATGTAAGTAAAGTAATTTAAATTTTATTTATTTAAAGTGACAAGTTTACATCATTTAAATAGTTTATTTTATAGAAATAAATAATTAAACTCGTACTATAATATGTATAGAATAACTTTCGTTATTATTAAATTTCATGTTCTTGTAAAAATTCTGAAAGTTAATTAAATATTTCAACTTTAATTATACATTAATAAATAAAACATTATTTATTAATCCGTAATTAAAATTTTGATAAATCTAAAAATATTTCAGAATTATTCAACGTCAGAATTAATATATTTTCTTTGATAAAATAATGAGAATTCAAAATAGCAGAAATATTTTATTCGTTCGCAACTACAACGTAAAAAACATTACAAAAATATTAATTATAATTAAATTTGATGTCTAATTACTTAATTTATTATAAATTCCTTACGTAATGAATCCTTGTTTGCTTATCTAGACAATATTTTCCCGTTGAGTAGATTTATTTGCTTTGTATAAGTATTACGAAGATAATATTTCGCCACTTCCCACACGTTTACATAATGACATACAGTAAATACCAGATATTAAGATTCATGTCCATTCCTACGAACATTGCAGAAGATCTTGTGAGGTCAAAATGTCCAAGGAGAAGGTAGCCTTAAGCATTCCCGATCGGATTTCAACAATCCCAAGAGCTTCCATGTACTCAACTCTAGAAGCATTCCACGGAACTGCTCCAGGAATGAACTGCCTGCTAAAAGTCGACCCACAAGAATAATGATATTGTGCTTTTAACCTTATTATAGGTCAAATGTTGAAAATTAAATAATATAGCTAATTTTCTATCATAAATCAATTTTAATTTATTGTATTAATTCTGTATTATTATTTTATAGAAGAAAAATAACATGTTAAGTCTTTCAAATTTATAATTTTGTTTATTATTTTACTTTCATAGTGTCAAGTATACGATTCTAAAATCGATATTTTTACAAAGTTTATTTTTAAAAGATTAGAATTAATCACTTTAAGTTGCAAACTGTGTTTTAGTAACTATTAAATATCATCAAGCAATTTATTTAAAAGTTAATTATATTTAGTAAAATTAAGGTTGTATAGTAGCGTGAAATTTTAAAGTGAATGGAAATAATTATTTATTACGATATTAAAAACCGATAATGAAATTAAATATTTAAAATTTTAATATTGCATAAATATTCTTTTTAAATAATGTCTAACCGAATTTTTAATTCGAAAATAAATATTTACTAAAATTTATAATTTTAAATTAAACTTTACATTTCAAAATGAAAAAAAAAAACTAAATAATTTTTCAGCCATTTCATTAGCATTTCAATTGCAAATTTAAATTTTTAAAATAATTTTTTTCTTTTAATTTTGTTTTAATGTTTCGTGGTAATTTTAAATTTTACATAAAATTTAAAAACTTATAATTGTAAATAAAATAAAATAAATCATTTATCTTCTTTTAATTTATGCCTATAGTTATATTTAAGTAAAGTTAATATATTCAACTCAAATTATTTACAAGCAGAGACTAACTTAGAGATTTAAATGTCGTCTGTGTATATATGTATATGTTTTTCTCTGTTATGTTCATCGATTCGAAAAGAAAAAGGATAATTTTACCAAACAGGAAAATGTTCAAAGACTTAATAGTTTACTTGGTATTGAATTGGAAAAGGTGGTTCAATATGGGCGAAGACAGACAGGAACAAAATGTCTTTTCCATGGTACTCGATTCAAAGAAACCGAAAGAGAAAATTTACTGGCAACTTGAGTAACTTAAATGATGTAGTTTATTGTTAAAAGAAGACGAATTAGTATAATACGAAGAGATAAGCTTGGAGCAAGCATAATTTGATAAAATTTTCATAAATATTAAGAAGTATATGGCATTCTCATGATAAATGTCTACCAATGATATTGGATTATATTAATGTATTATTCGTTGTGCCGCCGTTATCTATCATTCAACTGTTAGTTTATTGCTTAGTTGCAATATTATAAATATTAAATTTAATCACTTAAAATTTTCGGGTACTTTCTAAAGAATTTATTTATTCTTTCCATTTTTAGCAAAATTTAAATTCTATAGTATAAATTTGTATTAAATGTTATCGATTTTTTAAAAATAATTAATGAAAAAAATAACATTAAAATAAAATTAATTCGAAAAATATTAATTTTTTTTATTATTTATTATAAAACAATTTTAATTAAATTTTAGAAGTAAAATACGTTTATTTGTAATTTTCCATTGAAACTAGACCTTGTTTAACATACAAAACAGATCTTGCAAATTTAATTTGTTAATTACTTGCAATTTATTTATTTATATCTAGAAATTTCTAAACATAAAATTCAGAGTAAATTTCGCACATAAATGTGTTTTAATTTTTTTTACACTTAATCTAATTTAAAAAAATTAAATATTAAACATTCAAATAAATTTGCAAAATAATTAAAATACAAATATTTAAATTTAATCATTTTAACGAGTTTATCTGCCAGACTTTTATAGTAGCAAAACAGGAGAGCATTTTACAAAAGAACATTGTCAAACAGACATCGTTTTTGTTTTTTATTGAAT